GTATACTCCTTGCCCCTACCCCCAGCAAGGTAACTCAGCTTGCTCTGTAACGCCCCTGGCTCCCAAAATCTTGCCCCAACCCATGAAACCAATTCCCACCCCTTCTCCCCTCACCAGTCCTTTCTTGGACTCGACACGCTTGTGCCCAAGCGTGAAATAGAACAGCCTTGTTGCCCACACAAAGCCTGTTTGGAAGGTCTCTTTATTAAATGCATTTAATATGCAGTACTATTGGATGCAAATAACAGTAGGTTTGTAAATATTAGTGACTGCATTTCACAGAGCGAGGCTCTGACTCCAAATAAAATAAATAAATAAATGCTATTTACTTATAGCATTTGCATCTAGAGAATGCTTTTTTTTTTAGACGGAGTCTTGCTCTGTCGCCAGGCTGGAGTGCAATGGCTCAATCTCAGCTCACTGCAACCTCTGCCTCCTGGGTTCAAGTGATTCTTCTGCCTCAGCCTCCCCAATAACTGGGACTACAGGTGTGTGCCAGCATGCCCGGCTAATGTTTTGTATGTTTAATAGAGACAGGGTTTCACCACGTTAGCCAAGATGGTCTTCATCTCCTGACCTGGTGATCCTCCTGCCTCAGCCTCCCAAAGTGCTGAGATTACAGGTGTGAGCCATCAAGCCCAGCTGAGAATGTTTTAAGTCTTAATTTGTTAGCCAATGGTATAGTCACTAACGGTGTTTTCAAATTTTAAAATGCTACTACTGATAATTTGTGACTGCTGATCTGGCTCTAAAAATGTTTAAACTTACGTATTTTTGTCCTAGGAAAATGGTGATACTTTTCTGGTTATGGAACAGAGACATGCGTATTCATTTCCCGCTTGTCATAAAGATCTACAGAAAGCTGGTATTAGATGGAAACTATTTTCAGGAGCCATTATTGCTGTGACTGCATAAGTCCATGAAATTGGCAGGCCACTCTCGAGTTCTATAACTGATGAGCAGCTCGTATTCGAAGTGGAGATTTCCCTGCAGTTACATCCCTGTCCTGTCTGATAGCTCTCTGTTAAATACCGATCTTTCTCTTCTTCAGGGAAGAATGTGATTAAAGAGTTCTTGTCTGCATATTAGAAACCGGTCCTGACCAGACCTCTGAGGACCGCAGCAGCACACTGAAGTATTTTATAAATAATTGATGAACCTCAGAGGTCTGGTCTGGGGAGATATTCACCTGTTCTCCACCTGTGCACCACACCTCATTCATCAACAGCAATACCAGCGCATGCAGTTCTGCTTCTGCACGGGTACAGCTACACATTAAACAAACACGTGCACCAGTGGAGCTCTGCCGCCGCACCACCACCGCTTTCGGTCATTTGGAGCGAACCGTGTGGACCATGAACGTTGGCAGATAACACACAGAAGAGAAGCGTTGGCATTCCTTTTTATAAATGATAAATATTACCACAAAATGATAAAAATGGAAGGTGGTTTTGAATATTGGCAAAACTGGCCCCAAGAACTGTAATTAGGACAGTATCTTCCCCACGACCGCTCTAAAAGCCGTAACGTTTAAAATGCTCTGGGCACCGCATGTGGCCGGAGTAGCTGAGACTAGGGGCGCCCTCCACCACGCCCGCTAATTTACGCATTTTATTCTCACGCATGCTGCATGAGACTTGTCGATGCCATTTCCAGGATATCAAACAGCCTCAAAAAATAAATAAATAAGCTGCACATGCATTACATTTGCTTTTTAAATTATATAGGATTTAAAAGATTTTATGGCCAGATATATTGAGCAGAGCAAAAACTTTTAACAGAATACAGAGACTAAACAGAAACAATCTATTTCTACGTTATTCACAAATATTCCAAGTTCTTGCTTGTATCATTTTGCCGTTCATGAAAAGGCTAAACAATAACACAGTGTTAACAGAAAAACTTCAGTTGAACTAAACTTTTGGGTTTTTTGGAGACGGAGTTTTGCTTTTGTTGCCCAGGCTGGAGTGCACTGGCGCTATTTCAGCTCACTGCAACCTCTGTCTTATGGGGTTCAAGCAGTTCTCCTGCCTCAGCCTCCCAAGTAGCTGGGATTACAGGTGTGCACCACCACACCCGGCTAATTTTTGTATTTTTAGTAGAGATGGGATTTTTACCATGTTGATCAGGCTGGTCTTGAACTCCTGACCTCAGGTGATCCACCCTCCTCAGCCTCCCAAAGTGCCGGGATTTTAATAGGCATGAGCCACTGGGCCCTGCCAGCTGAAATAAATTTGAAGGAGTTTAATTGAGCAATGAAGGATTTGTGAATCAGCCCCAGAATCACAACGGATTCAGAGAGAGTCTGCACAGCCACATGATGGAAGAAGACTTGCAGACAGAAAAAGGGAAATGACGTACAGAAATCAGAAGCGAGTTACAGAAACAGCTGGATTGACTACAAGTTCGCCTGGCTGGGACACAGTCTGAACACTCAGCAACGTGTGAGTGTCTGAAGTGCGGCTGCTGCACTGGTCAGCACTCAGCCACCGTTTTAGGTGCAGCCTCCAGGCTCAGCCACCGTTACAGACCCCTCTGAGTTAGGTCTTCGATCTTGTCGGCCTGGTGAGTTAGGTTACGGTTCATCTACAAGGACTTAAATATACAAGTATCGAGTCCTTCCCAGACCATATTAACAATAGTTAACTCTTTTTTACAGTTTTCTACAGTTTGAAGTAGATGTGTTCTTAAGCTATTCCTTACATTTCTTTATCTTAGAAATTCCTAGCCTTTAAAGTAACAAATACTACTTTAAATTTATTTTTATTAGTGCTTTCTGGCCAAGACTACTATAATATTTATTAGAAGTCATAAATTAATTTTATCTTGAATAATTATCTGATAATAATGCTTATTTGATAAAATGTGATTTTACATGTAAATACACATTAAAATTGTAAGTGCCTTAACATACATAATAATGGTCTATACTTATAAAAACTATGTTTTTATAAATATAGGCCATTATAAATATAGACCATTTATAAAAACTATGTTGGTGGCTCACACCTATGTTGGTGGCTCATGCCTGTAATCCCAGCACTTTGAGAGGCTGAGGTGGGTGGGATCACAAAGTTAGGAGTTTGAGACCAACCTGGCCAATATGATGAAACCCCGTCTTTACTAAAAAACACATTAAATTAGCTGGGCGTGGTGGTGCGCATCTGTGGTCCCAACTATTCAGGAAGCTGAGGTGGGAGAATCACTTGAACCTGGGAGCGGAGTTTGCAGTGAGCTAAGATCACAGCACTGCTCTCCAGACTGGGTAATAGACTGAGATTCCATCTCAAAAAAAAAAAAAAAAAGAAACAGTTATTAGTTAGCTGGACATGATGGTGTGTGCCTGTAGTCCCAGCTACTTGGGAGGCTGAGGCAGGAGAACTGCTTGAACTCAGGAAGTGGAAGTTGCAGTGAGCCGAGACTGTGCCACTGCACTCCAGCCTGGCCACAGAGCAAGACTCCATCTCGAAATACATAAATAAATAAATAAATAAATAAATAAATAAATAAAACATACTTATTAAGAAATGTCCAAAAGTACATTGAAAAATATTGGGCATTTTTTTTTACAAAGTAACTTTCATAGTTGCAAGAAAATCAGACATGTCTATTTAGGTATTCACTTATTACGTGAGCAAATCTTTATTGTGACAATTGCAGGATAAGTAAAAAGGAGTAAGACATGACTCATCTTAAAGATGTTCACAGTATATTAATAAGCAGACCATAAATAATGTTATAATGTGATAAAATGACAAAACAAAACTATAGGTAAAGTTCTGCAGGAGCAGCCAGTAGAGAGTGATTGATTCTAACTAAAGTTTAGGGAAGTCTTTATTGTAACACCATCATTTGAGGTAGTTTTTGACAAGTCAGTTGCGTTTCATACACAGAGAAATCGCAGAGAGGAGCGAATACCATAGAGATGAAAAATAAGGTGTGTCTTAGTTACTACGAATATCGAATTTGAGTTAATGCCTGCTGTAACATTTGCGCGTGACCCACCTGACGTGCGCAAGCGGACGATTGAATGAAAGGGCGGGCTAAAGAAACAGACAGTGGCAGAAGCATTACATTATCTCAGCAGCTGGTGTGTTTATTCCTGGATGGATTTCGTGGATTCCACTCTATCTCCTTTTACTCTAACCCATGAAGGCATATCTGACTGATCTGTAAGTGCCAGCACGTGCATCTTCTGCACGAGGGCTTTTTCTGACTCTGAAGCCCTCTTGGCTACCTTTTCTAGGCCCGAAATGCCAGAGAGTGATCACTCATCAGTACAGCTGCAATCAATGGCTGATGGTAATTGGTGTGTAAATGTTACAATTCCCTTGGCCCGTGGGTGGGATTACTCAAGGACGCATTTTACCGTGTGTGTAAATGTTACAATTCCCTTGGCCCGTGGGTGGGATTACTCAAGGATGCATTTTACCGTGGCTTCTAGATTTCCACAGTAGGATTAAGCTCCAGTTGCCCATGGTGATAACACCCTTGGAAATAAAGCCGTTTTTGTCAGTATTTTCTTCCCTATCTCACTTCTATTCTTTACGGATTGTCTACTAAATAAACCGCTTTCACTTGAATGGCCATTTTGGTCTGGGTCCCAAATTGAAATGTACATTGGGATAAAAGCACATGAAATAAAATTAAATTACACAAGCAAGAAATAAATTTTATTTATTGTAAGCCAGTGAAACTTTGAGGTCATTTGCTCGGAAGAATAACAGGGCCTGTAATGACTAAAAAATAATATATTAGAGAAAAGAAGTCAACGCTAAAATTGGAACAAAAAGGATTGTGTTATAAATAACAAAGAAGGCACCTGGAATATAGGTGCTTGGATTTACTGTCCGAATTCACCGTGGAACATGGGTTGGGCCAAGATGTGGACCCGCAGAAAAACATCACAACCACATTTTGCATGAATGTGTGGAAAGAAAATTAAAAGGAAGTGAATCTATATAAAAATGAGTTCAATTTCTTTTTTTTTTTTAATTCAGTCTCCATAGAGACCATCAAAAATTGCCAATGCCGACTATACTGAAGCTGTCACGGTGGGGTATTGGGAAAAGTCTTCAATGAGCAACGATCGCGCCTCGGATAAACCTCATGGGCTACGACACTGCCACTGGCAGTTATGAGTTCAATTTCTTAATAGAACCTGCCACTAAAATCTGCTCATCAGCTGAGTCTCTTTTCTCATTAAACATAACCACTGTCCTCCCAGTCACCCAAACACAATGCGCACCATTGACCTCTCCCATCCCTCTGCTCGTGCCTCTCAGATCCGCTGCCCACCCCTAGTCAGTGGGCAGATCTTACCGATTCACCTGCCTAAATATTCTCAAATCTGTCCCACCTTTTCACTCCATGGCTGCCCTCGGAGTCAGATCCTGGCTTTCTCTTGCTCAATCCACTATAATACCTCAGTTCCTCCTCTTCCCTCCATGAATCCTGGGTGCCTCAACTTTATCTTCCACTGTGAGGAGGGATTGAAAACAAATCTGACCAAATCACTCCCATGTTAGCACCTGTGCACAGCCCAAATGATGGCCCTCAAGGAGAGCGAGATACACAGTTGAGCTGCAGAAGAAAATACTAGAAACTTTCTAGATTTTCATTTCATTCTATAAAATAAAATACATGGAGAGACCACACAACGTGTAGAGAAATTATAAACTCATATAGATACATTAGAGGTGACTGGGAAAGTTTCACTAAATCAGTATATAATCGAAAAAGTCTGGAGCAACCAGCGAAGAGACAAATCTGAGTTCCTTCACTCAGCCTGCATTGCAGCCTCCAGCTTCAGCGTCCTACCACCCCACACGAGGAACTCCACAGCTAGTAACACCAGTTTTCCTCCCACCCAGCATTGTGCACACAGCAGCATGGTGAACAGCCTCAGAAGTAGCTTTTCAAACTCAGTCTCCTGCTACACCATGTTCAGCGACCATCACCTTCAGAATCCTCCCCTAAACTTTCATGGCAGGCTAAGTGCACCTCAGCATGTTCTCGGGGCACCCCTTAAATGTTGCCGTCATTGGCCAGGTGCGATGGCTCATGCCTGTAATCCCAGAACTTTGTGAGGCCGAGGTGGGTAAATCACGAGGCCGAGAGTTTGAGACGAGCCTGGCCAATATATGGTGAAACCCCGTCTCTACTAAAAAATACAAAAATTTGCCAGGCTTGGTGGCCAGTGCGTATAGTCCCAGTTATTTGAGAGGCTGAGGCAAGAGAATCACTTGAACCCAGGAAGGGGAGGTTGCAGTGAGCCGAGATCGTGCCACTGCACTCCAGCCTGGAGACAGAGCAAGACTCTGTCTTGGAGAAAAAGAAAAGAAAAGAAAAACACTGTTTATGTGTCATGTGTCTTTATGCACTGTTTCTTCTCTTCACTAGATGCATTTTGGGTCAAGAATCATGTTTTATTTATCATAGGATTTCTAGGATCTATAAGAGTATCTGTTAGAAAACTGGGACCCAGTAATTGTTTGCAGAACTTCTTATACGCTAAAGAAGAAATAGCTAGAAAGCTATTGCAAAAAGCCCAGATGTGAAATATAAGGAGAAAAAAAAAAAACAAAATTAGAGGTGCCTTGATTTTTCAGTTTCATGTAAACAAGGCAGAAACACTGTTAACTGTAAAGGGTCTACGGTTTCCGCTACTCGCAATCTAATGAGTTACGTATCATTCTTTCATCGACGTTGGCAAAAGACACAAGACTCCCAGGTTCAAAAAGGGAAACGATTTACACTGAGTTGGAATTCTTTCATAGCTGCAGAACCTGGAGCTTAGGAAACTCCAGTCTTTTATAACGGACCTCGTATCTGTCTGTTTTCACGCTGCTGATAAAGACGTACTGAGACTGGGTGACATACAGAGGAGAGCTTTCATGGACTCATGGTTCCACCTGGCTTCTGCCTCAGCATCATGGCAGAGGGTGAAAGGCTCACTCACAGGGCAGCAGACGAGAAGAGAGCTTGTGCAGGCAGAGACTCCCCTTTATAAAACCATCACATCTCATGAGGCTTATTCCCTATCACAAGAATAGCAGGAAAGACCCGCCCCCATGATTCAGTTACCGCCCACCAGGTTTCTCCCACAACACATGGGAACTGTGGGAACTACAGTTCAAGATGACATCTAGGTGTGGACACAGCCAAACCACATCAGACCTCAAGTGAGCTTGCTCCAACTTTGCCCTAAAAGCAGTCATTATTTTAACTTTCTGAGACACCAAGAAAACCTGCTCTCTACCCGAGACGGAAAAGCGACCTTAACTTCCAAAGCTGTTCACGATGCCAATATCCTTGAAAAGATCATTTGAAAGAAAAGCTGCCAGAGTCTCTGTTTTATTTTTGTTGGTTTGGTTGGTTTTTGAGACAGAGTCTTGCTCTGTCACCAGGCTAGAGTGCAGTGGCACAATCTCAGCTCACTGCACCTCCGCCTCCTGGGTTCAAGCAATTCCTTTGTCTCAGCCTCCCGAGTAGCTGGGACTACAGGCACGTGCCACCACACCCAGCTAATTTTTGTATTTTTAGTAGAGACAGGGTTTCACCGTGTTGCCCAGGATGGTCTTGGTCTCCTGACCTCGTGATCCTCCTGCCTCAGCCTCCCAAAGTGCTGGGATTACAGGTGTGAGCCACCGCGCCTGGCTGAGTCTCTGTTTACATAACATGTGAATATATGAAATACTCCTGGGGAATCACCTCTCAAATACAAGTAAAGTATTCTAAAATATACAAGAACGTTCTAGAGCATTTGATTTGAGCAAGCCCGTGAAAGGGCTACTTAAAATGAACTGTCCTTATTCTTCTGATTTAACTGGACTTTCACTCGTTTGTTACATTTAAAAATAATCCTCCCAATGACCCAAAATTATTTAAAGCTTTGAAAAATGAATGACTTTTGTGCTTGAAAACAATTATTTTTATTTCCCTTGAACCCAAGTTATTCCATAACTGTATTACCTGCGTATATGTTTAGATCCTGAGGAGCAGAGATCTCTGACTCCCTCAGCAAGCATAGAAAAGAGGCTTTTCCCTGAAGAGTTTGTATCTGAAATGGACATGTCCCGTGAAGTCAGTGAGTGCCAAAAAATTAAGACCCTTGAAAATCTGTATCTGGATTTTGATGATTATATCCAAGAACTTGAAACTCGTGGAGTGACCGTCACCAAAGCCTCAAAGTCACCAGGTCCAGCAATACTCCCACAGCCCCTGACACGACGGACCCTCCTGCAGCCCCCATAGCAGCAGCTACACCTGTGGCACCAAGCACACCAGACATTCCTGCTGATTCTAGACGCTCATCTCAGCTTCTGATGGAACAATTGCGAAAGGAGAAACAGCTGACACTGTGTGAACGGTGGCCCTGAAGAGTGTAGAAATAAAGATGATCGGGGATTCGAATCACCTGGGGAAAAGGTGTCATATTCGGACAAGTCTTTGAAAACATCTGATGCCTGTTAGAAAATTCTCGGGAAATTGAAACTTCTAATAAAAATGATATGACTGTAGATATGGTACATGCTGATGGCGAAAGACCCAATGTTCTAGAAAACAGACAACTCAAAGGAAAAGACTGTTACATCAAAAGCAGCTAGAAGTGAAGACACAGTTCTCTGCAGCAGTGATACAGATGAGGAGTGTAAAAATAACAGTGATGGAGGGCCGGGCGCGATGGCTCACACCTGTAATCCCAGCACTTTGGGAGGCCGAGGCGGGTGGATCACGAGGTCAAGAGATCGAGGCCATCCTGGTCAACATGGTGAAACCCCGTCTCTAAAAATACAAAAAATGAGCTGGGCATGGTGGCGTGTGCCTGTAATCCCAGCTACTCAGGAGGCTGAGGCAGGAGAATTGCCTGAACCCGGGAGGCGGAGGTTGCGGTGAGCCAAGATCGCGCCATTGCACTCCAGCCTGGGTAACAAGAGCGAAACTCTGTCTGAAAAAAAAAAAATAATAAAAATAAATAAATAAATAAATAACAGTGATGGAAAGACAGCTGCTGTGGGTTCTAACTTAAGTTCTAGACCAGCGAGTCCAAATTCTTCCTCAGGACAGGCTCCTGAATGAACCCAGACTAATACTGCTTATGGTCCTGAAGGTCGTGTGTTTAAAAAAATCCTATCAACCAAGTATATAAAAAATTTGATCCAGTTGAAGAGATTTTAAAAATGCAGGATGAGTTCTTAAAGCCAATTTCCATAAAAGTACCCTCGAATTGCCCTTAATGAATTTAGAAAATTCTAAACAGCCTTGTTTCTGAGCAATTGTCTGTCCCTTCAGACACCTGTAGTTGGCTGAAATCTGGTGGCATTCTGCATCTCAGAAGCCAAAAGGACAACTGCCGTATGAACTTCAGCACTATGTTAAAAATACACGGGACACCTAGCTCCTCAGGAAGGAAATTTTGTTTATAAGCCATCAGCATGCAAGACCTGTGGTTACTCATGTGCTGGAGTTTCCAGAGGTAGAGACAAGACCACTTTCTAAAAAAAAAAAAAAAGAAAGAAAATCAGAAGACAATTTCCAGTTTATGTAGCACCAAGTCCAGACCATCAAGCGCTGCTAAAAGTGAACTTTGTCACCTGTGAGCTGGACGTTTACTGCATTCCAGCAGCTCATTTTGTGTCGGGCATATCGACGCTTCTACTTCAAAGCTTTTTCTGCTGGAAGAAAATACCTTGGAAGAATTAAAAGAAGAGCTTTCAGCACTCAAGATTTCCAATTTGTTGAACGTCCTCCAACACATTCTAAAGAAATTAAGCAGCTTCCACGAGGGTCTGACTTGTTATCTCACGCAGCAGAAGATTCTCCACTGCTGAGCTATGAGGCTCTGATGGAAACGTCACTAGCACAGTATATCATGTGTATAAACACATTACGGCCTCCCTCATGTACCTTCCAGTCTCTCAGTTCCCTGATCCCATTAGCTCCCAGCCCATCATCACCGTATCATCACCAGACACCACACCTGCCGGCACCTGGATCTCAAACTCTCCAGCCTCCAGAACTGTGAGGAATGCATTTCTATTGTTCACAAACCACCCAACCTGTGGTATTTTGTTACAGCAGCTAGAATAGGCTGACAGATGGTTTACATGGGTAGAAAGATCACCAGGAATGAGGAC